GTGAGCGGGGTGAACTCAACCCCCAACGGGGTCAGCGGGGTGAACCCGAGACCCAGTGGGGTGAGCGGGGTCAACTCAACCCCCAACGGGGTCAGCGGGGTGAACCCGAGACCCAGTGGGGTGAGCGGGGTCAACTCAACCCCCAACGGGGTCAGCGGGGTGAACCTGACACCCAATGGGGTGAGCGGGGTCAACTCAACCCCCAACGGGGTCAGCGGGGTGAACCTGACACCCAGTGGGGTGAGCGGGGTCAACTCAATACCCAGCAGGGTCATCTCAGCGCCCAACACGGTCAGAGGGGTCAACTCAACACCCAGAGGGGTCAACTCAAGGCTCCGCAGGGTTCACACAATTCCAAACGGGATCGACGTCAAACCCAACACCCAGTGGTGTCAACTCAACACCCAACAGGGTCATCTCAGTGCCCAACGGGGACAAAGGGATTCCCAAAGGGGTCAAGGGGATCAGTTCAATACCCAATGGGATCAATGAGGTCAACTCTACACCCAGTGGGGTCACCAGAATGCCTAATGGGGTCAATGGGGTCACCTTAGACCCAACGGGGTCAACACAACAGCCAGTGGGGTCAATAGGCACAGCTCAATACCCAGTAGGGTCAACAGAACATCCCATGAGATCAGTGGGTCAACCTGAGACCCAGTGGGGTCAAAATGACACCCAGTAGGGTCAACAGGGTGCACTCAACACTCAACAGGATCAACCCAATGCCCAATGGGATCAACGAGGTCAACTCCACGCCCAACGGCATCGACGAAAACATCCAAAGCGCCCAAGTTTCCACTCAAGGACAACGAGAAGCCACAGGAGACCCACCCAACATCCAACTGGATCAACACCAGCTCCAAGAAGCCCAACGCCACCTCCCCTCCCTTTTCCCCCCCCGCGGGCCTCACGTCGAAGATCTCGAAGCCGGCGATGTCCAGGACGCCGATGAAGTACTGCCGCGGCTGCTTCGTGTCCAGCGAGTTGTTGATCCTCACCACCATCCAGTTGAACATCTTCTCGTAGACGGCCTTGGCCAGGGCGCCGATGGAGTAGTAGACCTGCTGGACGCTCTGGCCCTTGGTGACGTACTCGTTGCCCACCTTGACCCGCGGGTGGCACAGCCCCTTGAGCAGGTCGGCCGAGTTCAGCCCCATCAGGTAGGCGGACTTGTCGGCGTCTGCGGAGGAGGGGACGGGCGGTCAGGTGCCACCGCGGTCAGGTGCCACCACGGTCAGGTGCCACCACGGTCAGGTGCCACCTCGCCCGTCACCCCCCTCGCCCCGACCCGCCTTCGGTGCCGTCGGGCTCCGCCTGCTCCTCCCGCTGCTTCTGCTTGAACTTCATGTTGCCGAAGTGCATGATGGCGCCCGTCAGCTTGTACACCCCGGCCTTCTCCTCGGCCGTGAAGCCCAGCACGTCGAAGGCGCTCTGGGGGAGAGGGAGGGGCGGAGGAGCGGTCGGGGGAGAGCACAGCGGCTGCTGGGCACCACCCCTGGGTCCCTCCCGCCGCCCCTCCCACCCGTCGGCCCGGCCGGTGGGGACGTGTCCGTCCGTGGGCTCGTCCACTTGAAGGACTCGGCCGTGGACTCGTTCGTTCATCCCGGGGTTCATTTGTCCATCTCAGGACTCGTTTGTCCATCAATCCATCCATCCATCCGTCCTTCTGAG